TGAAGTGGAGGGGAACCAGTCAAAACAAATATAAAACCTTAAGTAAATGTGTGTTTAAAGTACTTATGAATTCATGTCAACTGCCACATGGGAGTTCTCAGAACTGACTATCATTAAAAGGATGGCAGAGCAGACAGACAGACAAGATACAACAGCTATTCATGATGACTGACTCCCAGGGTTAAAGCCACAAGTACAGGGAGGGTGAGGGCAGACAGTTTGACTGGCACGATTCTGGAGAAGCTAACACAAGGAAGACTGGAGATCGAGTGTCGACTGGCATCAGTGTGTGGAGAAACAACACCAACTATGCAGACAATACTTCATTTAAAAACTGAATTTGGATAGTGGACTGGTTTGGTTCCTAGAATCTTTATCAGTGATAACAGGTCCTCTGTGGTCCTCTGTAGCTCAGCTGGTAGAGCACGGCGCTTGTAACGCCAAGGTAGTGGGTTCGATCCCCCATACACAAAACATTTATGCACGCATGACTGTAAGTCGCTTTGGATAAAAGCGTCTGCTAAATGGCATATTATTATTATTATTATTATTATTATAACAGGATGAGGCACAACAACATCCCCGGTTCTATTTCAACATTATGTCTAGTCACCAGAAGAGATGAGGTTACAGGGCTGTAGCATCCTGTTGTTGCTCTCTGATAACCATCTCACCAGTTACATGTCTGTCATCTGTCACCTGCTGTTGTGTCTGTAAATACACGTCTATGGTTGTCTGTCTCACGCTCTCAGGACTTCCATTCAGTGGGACTGTAGCCTATCTCTCAAAGCATTTTAATATTTTGACTCAGCCACTTTACATTTACAGTCATTTGTCCATTTAGAAAACATTTCATGTAAACAAGGGATGAAGGACCCATCAATGAAGCTGAGCATGTGAGACAAATTACCAGAGAAACATCCAGACCACAAGGCCATAATCATAGCTTGGCTTAGTGAGATGTAGTGGGAAAAGTTACAGGCCCTTAATGTGTCTGAAGCTCAGTTTCAAACGGACATCTGTCATCAAGCTCTCTCTCTCTCTGTTCTCTCCTCTCCAGTGACACATGAAATTATAACTGCCCCCCCAATCTTTATGGAGGTTTGAAATGAGGGTGAAATATATTATATGACACGGGCATGTTAAAGCCATCACTCTAGTAACCTTTTCCATTTAACCAGTGGCTATTGGTTGGGTTAAAACTGTATCCAGACTGTAAACCAGAGGATTGAAGGGGTTCTTTACTGGCACTGGACCCATGTGAACTGCAGAAAAATGGCTAAAGTATATAAACTCTTGTACAATTAAGTGGTAAGTCGCGGATGTGTCCTCATAATAACATGTCTTCTTCGGCACCGAATGCGGTTTGATCTTTCACTTAGAAAAACAAAGGTTTTATATGAATAACAAATCCTTAATTGAAGAGTAATGTGATCTCCTACAACTTTGGCTCTAAAGTCTGGTCTGACACAGTTACACAAACATGACTTTGGTCAGTAATTTCAAAACCTAGAGGGATGAAAACTTCTGAGAAGTTTTTCTGCATGTTATAGGTGAGACTGCATTGACTGAATGATGGATGTTGTTGATAATAGGGTTGAATATATTTCAGATCAGGCAGGGCTACTGTTTATTTACAGTAAGAGGGGGACAATAGGGGATACACAATGCGTTACCCACAATTCATCATTGCCTAAATGTTTTTAAGGCTCTGTGTCACTGTATGATGAATGATTTCCTCCCTCATCTTTTGCATAGAATTTTAATGTTTGAAGAAAAGCAGTGGCTCTGTCTGTCAGACACAGAAATGTCACGTCTGATCACAACTTCAGTTGAATTAGGATTGTGACACATGGAGAACTGCGGTTCCACACTGCGGTTCTCTGTTTATTTTCTCGCAATCCTTTCGATTGCAACAATGTCCTTTCCCATACCCAGTGTTGTAGAACAATAAATAAAGTCTGACAGAGTTGTCGCTTTAAGTGTGTGCCATTAGCATTATAATTTACACCCTGGGCCTCGGCCAACATTCAGACTGACTGGGAGATGTTGTTTGCCTAAATGCTTTAGTGAGACAAGCACAGAGCTTTAGACGGAGTACATAAGCACTTGGGCATTTAAATGTCTATTTAGCCCTTTTCTTTGGCATGGTTGTGAGATATGACCGAGTTCACAATATAGTTTTTATCGTCATGTCTCGGTGTGCCCTCTAATCAAACAGTTACATATAAAAGCATGGCAAGTTGTAGTGCACCCTACAGTGCCTTGCAAAAGTATTCATCCCCCTTGGCGTTTTTCCTATTTTGTTGCATTACAACCTGTACTTTTTATTTGGATTTCATGTAATGGACATGCACAAAATAGTCCAAATTGGTTAAGTGAAATGAAAAAAAATAAGTTGTTTCACAAAATTCTACAAAATAAATAACAGAAAAGTGGTGAGTGCATATGTATTCATCCCCTTTGCTATCAAGCCCCTAAATAAGATCTGGTGCAACCAATTACCTTCAGAAGTCACATAATTAGTTAAATAAAGTCCACCTGTGTGCAATCTACGTGTCACATGATCTGTCACATGATCTCAGTATATATATACCTGTTCTGAAAGACCCCAGAGTCTGCAACACCACTAAGCAAGGGGCACCACCAAGCAAGCGGCACCATGAAGACCAAGGAGCTCTCCAAACAGGTCAGGGACAAAGTTGTGGAGAAGTACAGATCAGGGTTGGGTTATAAAAAAATATCTGAAACTTTGAACATCCCACGGAGCACCATTAAATCCATTATAAAAAAATGGAAAGAATATGGCACCACAACAAACCTGCCAAGAGAGGGCCGCCCACCAAAACTCACGGACCAGGCAAGGAGGGCATTAATCAGAGGCAACAAAGAGACCAAAGATAACCCTGAAGGAGCTGCAAAGCTTTAAGCCTTACACTCCACATAGCTGGGCTTTACAGAAGAGGGGCCAGAAAAAACCCATTGCTTAAAGAAAAAAATAAGCAAACACGTTTGGTGTTCGCCAAAAGGCATGTGGGAGACTCCCCAAACATATGGATGAAGGTACTCTGGTCAGATGAGACTAAAATTGAGCTTTTTGGACATCAAGGAAAACGCTATGTCTGGCGCAAACCCAACACCTCTCATCACCCCGAGAACACAATCCTCACAGTGAAGCATGGTGGTGGCAGCATCATACTGTGGGATGTTTTTCCATCAGCAGGTACTGGGAAACTGGTCAGAATTGAAGGAATGATGGATGGCACTAAATACAGGGAAATTCTTGAGGGAAAACTGTTTCAGTCTTCCAGAGATTTGAGACTGGGATGGAGGTTCACCTTCCAGCAGGACAATGACCCTAAGCATACTGCTAAAGCAACACTTGAGTGGTTTAAGGGGAACATTTAAATGTCTTGGAATGGCCTAGTTCAGACCTCAATCCAATTGAGAATCTGTGGTATGACTTAAAGATTGCTGTACACCAGCGGAACCCATCCAACTTGAAGGAGCTGGAGCAGTTTTCCCTTGAAGAATGGGCAAAAATCCCAGTGGCTAGATGTGCCAAGCTTATAGAGACATACCCCAAGAGACTTGCAGCTGTAATTGCTGCAAAAGGTGGCTTTGGGGGGGTGAATAGTTATGGGGGGGTGAATAGTTATGCACGCTCATAACTATTCTTTGGGGGGTGAATAGTTATGGGGGGGTGAATAGTTATGCACGCTCAAGTTCTGTTTGTCTTATTTCTTGTTTCACAAAAAATTATATTTTGCATCTTCAAAGTGGTAGGCATGTTGTGTAAATCTAATGATACAAACCCCCAAAAAATCCATTTTCATTCCAGGTTGTAAGGCAACAAAATAGGAAAAATGCCAAGGGGGGGTGAATACTTTCGCAAGCCACTGTATTTCATCCCTTCTAAAAATAAGGACCTGATTGAATAGGCTGATATTTTGTTCACACACACACTATCTGTAAGATACAAGGACATGGCTTATTCCATTCTAACCTTTATGTAGAAGTAGATCATCTGTAATCTCATGCTATGAATGGAATGGAATAGAAAACAAAATACGAAACAAAGATTGTTATGTTTCTCAGCGGTTATCCAACTTTATTTCAAAGCATGTTCAGGCACCACAGTGGTTCCTATGGTAATAACATCAGGGTTTGATCATAATCCCTGAGAAGCAAACATTTGAAATAGAACATTAGAACCATCCAGATACTGGAGAATAAATAACAGCCATTTAGCGCAGTTACAACAAGCAGTAAAAAACATGTCAAGGTCATCAAAAGCATTTACATTCTAATCATCAATATACACATTTAGCATTTCAACAAAAAGGCACAGTACACAAATACTGCTTTATAATCAACATATACAATCCTACCCAATATGGGTCATTTACAGAGGAAGAACACCTCTGTGTGTAAACACTGGTGTTGCTCTTGCAAAGTTCAATACAAAACCAACCCACATACTCACTGAGGAATAAGGTAGATTAGTATACATGGCTCTGCATCAATCTATTTTGTGCAAAAAGTATCAGAGAGTATAACATGTGTTGGTGGTAATCTAAAGGTAAATATAAAGTATCAGTGGAAGAGTTGGAGGTAATTGAGCTACTTTACAAGAGCAAGCAAAAGTTCATTTGAAACCCAGCTGTGCAATTTTTAAACAAGAACATCTTCAAGCAAATCAACAGTTGATTGTAACATAAAAAATCAATATCTTTGCTATATATTATTTTCCCTGATTCTATCAAATGCAAGGAATGTTATTAAATACAATCAAATCTAGAGATATTGATATTTTTCCATTGTTTTTGACACAGCTGTGAAACATATCTAAGGATGTCAATTCTGTCAATTCATTCATTTAAAACTATCAATAAGGGAAAAAGTGCTTATTCCTGATATACCTCAGATTTTATAACCTGAGGGTACATTTGGAAAACTGTCTACTGCCAGCTCAAATCATATTAGTAATAACACTGACGAATCATTAACAAAAAGCACCAAAATATCTTCATATTATTGTTTTTGTCCGGAGTCTTCTGAAATGAACTACAACCAAAAAGCCCAAAATGAAAACCATTTCCTCCACAATCTCAGAAATTCTGACCGTCTGATTATTTCTATAGAACCTAAAAGGATTGCCTTGAATGGCTTCCAAAACCCAGAAGAAACAAAAAGGAATTGAACAATAAGGCAAACAGTTCAATGGAAATTCAACAAATTAATCATGTAAAGCTGGCAAAAGGCTTGGATATATAAGTAGTACATTCTATAAGAATTGCAAATACATTTACAAGCAACATTTAAAACACAAAGCACATCTGATTGCCTGCAAAGCCATAATGCTGAAAGCTCATTCCCACTAAGTGCCTGCCTGGCTCCTCTGCCCCTATGCCAGGGAGGAAGCCAAGATACCACACAGGAAGGAAATGTCCCTAGGCGGGCCGCACAGCAGCCCAGAAAAACTATCAGAGTCCGTGTGCCACTGCAACAAAAATACAGTGACATCACAGTCCAATACCAAACACGGGTCCCCACCAGCCTTTCAGATACCGAGGCACGGCAGGGACGAGGATACCAAAGGAGCCGGTCACCTAGTAGGCAACCTGAGGTGGGCACCAGGCGGTGTCTGGGTACAGCAAACAGTGCACAGACTTAAACCTGGAACACAAGTTGAGAGAGAGACATGGAGGTTAGATTAACAGAGAAAAAATATATACCCTCTTTACAGTCAAGATATAATAATAATATAATATGCCATTTAGCAGACGCTTTTATCCAAAGCGACTTACAGTCATGCGTGCATACATTTTTTTGTGTATGGGTGGTCCCGGGGATCGAACCCACTACCTTGGCGTTACAAGCGCCGTGCTCTACCAGCTGAGCTACAGAGGACCACCAAGATAGTTCAAGTAGAGTAGGATCTCCATTTCTGTATTAGTAGTCATGCAGAGGGTAATGTCTCACCTTGATGGGTCCTCCTCCACAGGGAAAGCCCCTTTCATATTGATGATGTTCCTCTTGTTCTCAAACATTCCATAACTCAATGTGATCTGGAATAAGCAAAAACGGGAAAGAAATTAGCAACCCTGCCCAATAAGTTCTGATAAATGCTGAAACTCTATTCTCACAGTGAAACGACGGACTGACACGTTCACATCTCACCTGTTTATGAAGTTCAGATCTGGACACCTGTTGCAGGTTCTCCAGGTGGGAGTGGAAGAGGTTGCTGCGGGTCAGAGGCACCCCCAGCACCGACTCGATGATGTAACCGATGGTGCAGTCATCAGGCAGACGAATCTTCTCTGCCGTGTTCATAAAATGGCCGCCACTGGCCCATGGGCTCATCTTCAAAGCCAGACCTCGACTCACACAGAAGCCGGCTCCCCCAGTAGCAAACCAGAAGTTTACTGGTCTCTGGAGAAGAGAAAAAAAAGACAGAAAGCATGTTAGGTTGTTGTAATGCAACCCTTCTGAAGAATCTCAAACTTTTAATAACCAATTGGAAAGTTGTCACAGGCCAGGAGTCCACCTACCATCTTGTTGTCTCCTAGCCTCTCTGTGGCCTCGATGGGCCGGTCCAGGCTGGGCTTGCCAATGTACATGTCCTGGGTGTGGGGGATAGTGGGACAGCAGCTTCACCAGAGTCCTCATGTTAACGTAGTTATCATCATCCACGTGACAAAACCACCTAAGAGGGGAAAACATTGTTAAAGCGTTATAATATTTCAATCAGAACTATAATCACTATCAAATCTAGAATGACATAGAACCTGGGTAAATTCATCACTTTAAATAGACTCATACTTTTTCCCAGACTCAATGAACTTGTCGTACTCCACAGCCATCTTGCAGGATAGAGCTTGGCGGCTGTGTGCTGCTGAACAGTTGGTGTTGATGGCGTGACTCCCTGTAGGAACAATGAGGGAGGAGATGGTGAGTTACAAACTAGTACCTTACTAGCTAGCTAATGCAAATAATTGGAACTATAGCGCTGTTAGAGCCTTTTTCACACAGCTTAACACCATCTGACACTAAGAGTGTCAGGAGCTCAAAGCAACAATTTCCATGGGGATTAAAATAGTGGCTTGGTTTCTCACACTATCAAATCTGGACCTTTAATGGTTAACTAATCCCAGCTACTGTTCAGGTTAAGATAAATATAAAATTAGAACTCAAATGCTTCAGAAAAATCCCAAACTCACCCATTTTCTTCTTCAGCTCCTCCTCTTCTCCGTCTGTGAAGACGTAAGTCTGAAAAGACAAAGATGGAAAATACATCAGCTCACGTTGTCGGAGAAGAAATCCAGGAAATCACAGAACAAGTGGTGGCACAAGAATCAACTTGACTCCAAACTACAGTATGTCTGATGTCCTTGGTCACCATACATCTAATTCAGTGTGATGACCATCTATCAGCAGTCTTTTATGCATGTGGAAAACACATGGAGTTAAACAAGCCACGCTCTAATAAAGGCCTCTTGTGCAATGTTCCCCTCTCTCCATGGCAACTGTGCAGGCCCCCCAAAAGCATCTCAGACATAGAACAAAGAGGGAGGCAACCATCTTCCCCCACACCTAACCCCTCAACCCCCACCACCGCTGACCCCCAACACCCTTATGACCCAATTCCATTCTGGATCTGTACCCACTCCCTAGCTCCAACATGTTGAATAGAAATACAAATATCATTGACGGCCATCATACAGATATCAATAATTTCAGCACCACCTGTATGGCACAGAGTAAGCTCTTAGCAGCCAAAGAATAAAGCTGTCAAGGTTAAAATACTGCAGGCTGGTGTTTAGTTAACAAAAGGCAGCCTCAGTGGCACACTTAAAAGAGCAGGTAGGGATTAGGAGTTGTTTTATGGTGGGTAGGGTTTAGCAGGTGCTAGGCAGCCCTCCCCCAGTCAGTCAGTCAAACAGGGCTGATGAAAGGGCCCCCGCCCCCGCCCCCATGCCCTGTGTGTGTCTGAGTTGTCAGTTTCCTCTCAGGTGAGACAACACCTGCCTTATCTCCGCCGCGTGCCCCAACACGCCAGGTAGCAGCTCCCACTTAGCCCAACTGAACCAACCCCACACTCCCACTAATTGATTGCCGCCACTGACTGCTGAGCAGCAACATCCATCTGAGATCTGGATCTCAACAGTGGTGCTGGCTGAGTTCATGCCAGAGAGCGATAAGGCAAAGACATTCACTTTTCTAATATCTACACTCCCATTTCTACAGTTCAGTACTATCTGCCGTCGGTGCCAAACCTTTATCTGATTGGTTTGCACAACAAACTGTGAGCAGATGTTGTGCGATGGATGCTGCGGGGCCCTGGGCCTGTGTTTGTTTAAGGAAGGGTGGTGGTTTCACTGGTAAAGGGATCAGAGGCTGGCGCTGTTTGCTTTAAGTCCCGCTGAATGGACAGCCTAATCACTGAGGCAGCTGCCAGAGCGGCCCGGGTACTGACAGAAAGGGGTCGAGAGGGGCTGATGGAGAGGGGGGGGGGGATCTCACTGCTGATTAGTAAATCGAAATCTGTGTGTGGTCATTCACCCCCACTTCACCCTCCTACCCATCCCCTCTCTCACCACCCCATACGCTGGCCCTCTTCAATAGAACAATGCCGGGTGTTTTCGTTCTGGTTAAAGTCCTCCACTGGGTAAATTCTAAATATGTTTGCTGGCATTTGCATACAGCTGCAGCAGTTAACTAAAGAGAAGTCTCTAAAGGGCTAAAATGGCTTTTGTCTTAACTGAAACATTAAAGAAAAGTAGTCACTCAAACTGAACATTTATTAATATACCCCCATATAGTTTCATAAATAACAAGTCATGCCCCGTGAGGAAAATCTATATATATATTTTTTTATAATGATTGTCTGAACCGCAGATGAGGGATAAGGGGGGGCTGCACTCCTCCCCATCAAAGAAAGGCCTGACACGGCCCAGTCTGAGCAGAGCATGGTGCCTGGCTGGCTGTCTCAAGATCCCCGGGAAGGAAGGGTACGGACTGCACTCCCCTCCACTCATCTCCCTCCATCAACAACCACCTTCTCCGTTCCCCCCCCCCCCCCCCCCCCCCCCCTCCCCCCCCCCTCACTCAACCATGCCGCTTTCTCCCTTCCCTTTAGCCTTTGGCACAGCACTAAAGTCACTGGAGTGTGGACTACAGTACAGGACAGAGAACAGGCCACCTACAGACACAGAATGACACTTTCCCACTCTCTGACCAGCTGGATATTCACAGACTCATTCCTTCATACTGTGAAGGGCTATTTGATTAACTCGACAATGGAGCCAAGTCTTCTTCCAAACTGCCAGATGTACAGACGCTCATTGTGGGAGTGCTGGCTAATTAATGTCATCTCAATTAAAAATGGAATGCATATCAAACCACTATGATGTCACTGCCGGTGCCTGTCCGCACACAACCAAAGTCAATACCCTTATAATGCCCATTGATGTGTAGGTTAGAGCTAGATTTAAACCTGTGTTTTGTAGCTAGTTATGTACTGCAGGTCCCAAAGTGCTACAAGCCAGAGAATTCTGTTGCTGCACAGTTTGTTCTCTCATTGTTTTGAGGCTCACTCACTAGGGAAGCTGCATTGTTCCAGGGGGGAAATCTGCTGAAACACCGGAAACCAGGGCCTAGTATTTGAACAACCCGTGCATAATAACGAGTTGTAATTTTTTTTTATATCACAGTACTTTTGCTTACTCACTAACTTATGACTCACAAATAACAATTGGGCCTTTCACTATACCAATTATTCTCTGAAACAAATTGTTTTTTCCCCAATAACTTCTTTCATTTTATGTAATAAAAAACATCAAAACTTCTGACCATTAAACTAAAATCAGATATATTTTTCTGCCAGAGACAGTAAGCCACAGGCACAATTCTATCAACATGGTAATCACAGATTGGATCTACCCTCTCTATTTACATGTAAACATCTGATAGCAAGCCCGTTGGCTTAAGGAAACCGAAAACGTGTATATCCTGTGCTGGAAATTGAATCAGGGCTCTGATCTGCCCAGTGAACCAGTGCACAGTTCTAGTCAGGCCTCACCTGATGGCAGAATGCCATGATTACCCATCTCTCCCAGCTTCAGATACCAGCTACAGACATTATCAACTGGATGCAGTCAGCGGAGCTCCACAGGTGTCCATCAGTTGAGCATTATCATATAACCTGGGTGCAGATGTCCATATGTGCTGGGAATGACCTGATTCCTATGACTGGCCTTAGAACCATCCTTTGTTCTCCAACTACTGGCCACCTGTCAGCCTTCCTCCAGGAACTCCCATTTGTATTGTGGGCCCAGGCCGTTCTTTATGTCTGCACTGCCTCCTACCAGCTGGCTGATTAAACCCTGCTGTTAACTCTCTCTCTCTCTGAGATGGGTTAACTTACATCATCCACTACAGTAAGTACAGCACACTCAATGGCCATGTAAACTGCTACTCCCCAAACCTTATTGACAGTCTGTCTTCCTGAGCATTAACCTGTCCTAGTTGAAGAACTAGGCCAGATGTAGACTTTCCCTGTATCGGCTGTAGTAAAAGACCATTATGGAATGGAGGGAGTTATTTGAATGGGCTACTGTATTTGATAATGTGATGCATCTTATGTGTTCAAAGTTCAATTTTCATGGCAACAGACTCAACTCACCCCACCTCCTCTGCATACAAAGAGAGACAGTGTTGCTATGACTAACCTTGCCATATTCAAAACACTCAAAACAGAGGAGTTTGGCTTGGGATGGAGAGAAGAGCTCTCAAAAGAAGGTGGATAAAGAATGTGCGATTGTGCCCGAGGAGAATTTAATTGACTTTTGAAAAATATGCGTGACAACTCTGGGTACTGGATGAAATCACTTTGACTAGCCTCTGTTTCCTCTCGACTATGGCTGTGAGTGCTTTTGTGCACCAGTCTAAAAGCGCTTGGTTCTCAGGGCTGCATTTTCATACTCAGCGTGCTACTCCCAGCACAAACTTCCCTATAGATGCACCCCTTTGTCCCTAGCATCCCCTTAACGAAGCCCCCATTTTCCCATCCCTTGGCTGCTTGACCCAGACACAGCTCCCACGTTCCCATGGAGCAGCTGAGACAAGGAGGCTGGACAAGCTTTTCTTCCCCCTTCAGAAAGACGCTTTGTTAGCCCTGGAAAGGGGACAGCACTGGAGCCGCTGCTGTGAGGCATACATTGCACCAGGGCATTCACAGGGACACCCAAAAGAGGGGGATAAAGGAGAGGGGGGAAAGAGGGGGGTGCAGAGAGAGGGGGGTGCAGAGTCCTGAAACTGCTCCCTACATTCTCAGGGGCATCACTCAAGGCAGAATAAAAAGTGACAGAGCCTAAGGAACTCTGCATAATTAAGAGGGTAATATGGACAGTTCAGGAACAAACAGTTATCACCCACATCTCACCTGACATATGAGTGGGGCAGATGTTTGAGTGGGTCAGCAGTAACACTGAACAACTCATTGGTGGCTTGTTGTAAAGCATATTTTATGGGTGAATATTAGGTCTATTGCCTATTTTTGTAAAAGCATGGTAAATGTCCTAGCCTAAGCCTACTAAAGGAAACCTAATGAAAATATGTGATTGTTTCATGGAAGATTTAAAATGAATCATATTCTTCTGATAATACTGTTGTATTGTTGGCTTACCTGCTGCATGTTTCTAGAGATCCAGGTATCCAGAAGGAGATTCAGTCGAGACTGATGGAACTTCTTTGTGGTCTTGACAGCGATGAAGATGTCATCTGCACTGATGTCCTCTGCGGGGGACGCATCTGTTGCTGACTGAGCGGACCCTGCAGGCTTGTCCGCCTCTCGCCGTCTCCGGGTCAACTTGGAAAAATACGCAGAGAATCCTTTCTTTGCCTGCGCCTCCGAGTTGACCTGTTGCTGAACAGCCTTCACTCCGTCCGTAGCCAAAGTGTCCATGCTCTGGAGTGAGCGCGTCCCCATCTCTCTCTCATTTGGAACCTCATCTACCAGAACTCTTTGATGCTGCGCGACCACCAAGAGCAACAGAAGGCAGGTGAATCCTGCACTGGTTATAGAGATAACCGTTTTCTTACCATAACTTTTCGACATATTTCAAAACTACAATACGTAGTTGTATACTGAGAATCACCTAAATTGAAAGTCCATATAGTAATTCTCTCCAGACAGAACAAAGAAATCAAACAACCGTCCCGTGCGTCTGCATTATTGTAATACATTGAAATTTTGTTCTAGCCCATTTTTATAACCTACCCTCCAAGCTAGCCACGCCTCATGAGCGGTCTGTAAAGCGCTATTGTGCTCTATTGTGGGGACGCTGAGAAAAGACTCTTCCCCAGGGCGGGATCTAAATCATAGACACGCCCACGAGAGGAGGACGTGTGAGTGTGTGGGTCTGTGTGTGTGTGAAATAAATGATTTAAGTCCCTTGTTACTTTTAAATTCCGTGCCCGCCAAAGTTTTCACATTCTGCTTAGCCTACAGCTATTTCCTATAGGCACTTTGCTCGTTCTTGAATCTACTATAGGTAGGCCTTTATGGTAATTTGGTAAATAGAAATTAAAATATGTTGCTGTGTGAGCATGTGACATATACATTTGAATAAATAAATAATATTAGCTGGAGGAGATTAAGGAGGGGATCAAATCCTGTGGTTTTCCTTATCAGGGAAGTCCCATGGCAGTTAGAGATAAGACTGAAAGATTGACTCTAAGAAAACAGTGCAGCAGGTGGACTTTGTTACGGTTTTCAGTTAGCACCATGTCTGCAGCTGGTGGTGAAAATTAACAACCCTATCTGTAAAGTAAAAATTAACAACCCTATCTGGCTTTAGTTGTACTGTTTGTGGAAAGAACATCTGAGACTCACAATCTACAAGAGATGGTGCCTAATTGAATAAATCTTGATTATATTTAAACTACTTATACATCCTTGTGAATTAAGCACTTTTTTAGTTTGGTTACAGAGCAGACTTATGAGTTTACAGTGATTGATTAGGCCTACCATTGGAAACTTCCATTTAGAACCAGTTGACTCTGTAACATTTGGCTACGTTAAACGTCTTACAAATGTCTCTCAGATGTAAAAAGTTGGACTCTTCATTGAAATTCTTTGTGAACTTATTCAAATTCTGCCAAGTGTGGACAGCTTGTTCACCAGCCAAGCAAATGCAATTATTCTGCATTGATCTTGTAAGGGCTTTAAACAGTTGGCAATTCCTCAGCCCTTGTTATTTAAATTCCGTCTCTCAACCAGTGAAGGCCTTCTGGTGGAGGGTGGCTGACCCTAGACGTGATGTGAGTTCCGGCAGACCGACTGCCATGCAGCTGGCAGTGACAGGTCTGAATACCCACACTCACTCCCATCAGTCTTTGTCTCAGACCAGTGAAGGCCAATGGACCAAGCAAACTATTGGTCGAGAGTCATCAAAAATGTTTGATGTAAAAAAGCATGTGAGTCATGTGAAATCATCTTTGGTTAGAGAGTTAGCTTTAAAGTCATATGGAGAATATTCTAACACTGACCATCCTTATTTGTAAAGTCATCTAGCTAATGCTCTACCCCACGACTTCTATTGTTGAGCTAAGTAAACCAGAGTAAATTGGTATGGATATAACCAATTATACTTCTAGTCCTCTTTTTTACCTGACATCATGAGGACTGTGTGAGGCAAAAGAGAACACACTGTGAAATGGAGGAGAAGAACCAATAATCCTTTCTCCTTAAATGTCCCTTTAAAACAAACTGAAAGGTGGTCTTTTTATCAAACAAAATTCACAAAACGTTGCTGAGAAGTAATCCTTTCACTTCGAATTGTTCCTAACGACAAGTCCTTTTGTGCATCTTTTAAAACGCCTCACAGAAAAGGCAGCTAAAAAACAAGTATAAGAAACCAGGGAGGGGGGTTGTCTCCCTGGCCCTCATTCTTCTTGTATCAACAGGCTCTTTCTCCTGGTTCTGCAAGAGATTCGTCCCACCTCTAAAAAGGCTTTTGGTCAGACAGCTCCTTGGACTCCTGGAACAATGACAGTTGTTAAAATGGCGGGTGGAATGTACAAAGTGAAAGTCCTACTTCTATACCAGCTTCATGCCAGCCATCTCCATTGTTGCTGCTGTCTTCCCTCCACTGACAGCAACAACAGAAAAATAAAACCTTCTTTGCCACTTAAACTTCCCCACCACACCATACCCCACCCCATCCCTATCCCTGAGCCCTCCTAACGATGTTACCGCTGAATTCCAATGAAATGAAATCCCCTTTGTAAAGAGTATCCCACTTCCACCAGAGAGTGCCCACAGACCCACCAATAAACACAACAGCGCTTGATTTCTCTCTGAACATCTCTGGGAATCTGAATAGAGAGGGCCTGGGGGGCCTGAGTGGGGTGGTTATGATTAGAAGGGTGCTATTTATATTCCTCATTGACTGTAGGATGGATGCACAAAGGGGAGATAAAGCATTCCTGTCAGTTCTGAGGTCAGTTTGAGGAATATTACTGTTGTTTTTTATGTTTGTGTCTAGCCACAAAAATGTCTCTGTCAGACCACTTATTGTTAAGGAATTGTACTCACAACTGAAACTTACAAAACACATCCACTCAGTGCTGAAAGATTGCACACTTACTGCTGAAACGGACTAAATACAGTTTCAATTTGCTCTGTGCGTCCTTAGGAAGCATCTGTACATGGTAAAGAGGCTACATATCGCTCTGGGCAAATCCTGTACTCATACATTTTCTATTTATTTTATTTTCATCTCCGTTTCACATCCCCTTCAGTGTTTGACCAAAGTTGCTGCTCTTGGAGATGAAGGAATCCTAATTCATAACATGACTATAAACGGACACATACGCAGTAAAGGAAACATATGGTAATGATGATAATGTATCTCTGAGCAGATAATCTATCAATCACATGCTTATACTTTGTTATAGACTTCAACTTGTTAGTCAAAGGGATTGCGCATCTCGAAAAGAACAGAAAACTTCATATGTCTTGGAAAGTATAATTGTGTGAATATAACTATACGAGTGTTCTAGTTGACCACAATTGAATGCATCCTTGCCTTTTATTGAATGAACTGTGTGCTGTAGTTATTTTAAGTATTTTATGAGTTCTCTGTCCCTGGATTCTCTGTCATGTCTGGAAAATGTTGAGCCTTCTGTAAGCCTTGAGGCATGGTCATGCTGTTGTTCCTGAATATGGTACCAATAAGCAGAAATGAACACAGCTCTGAGTCTGAGAGGAAGACCTTCTCAGACCTCTCCTCCATCATCTTCTCTCTTTCGGTCTCTATGGATTAGTGGACATATTTTGCAAGTAGCCACAGTGATAAAGCCATATTTTCCTCCCTTTGATTAATTGTTTCTTGACACAGACCTGCTCATACACCTTGCTGACGGAGCGTCTTTCTGTTCTCTGCTGGGTGAGTGGGAAAACACTAATATCCCCACAGAGGGAGTGTCCCAGACTCAGACCTGACTTATGGCCTACTTTACAGAGAAATCAACCCATTTATGTCTCTTTGGAGCAGTTCCATTCAACATGATGGAAACTCTATCTGTGTATTGTGGACCGATATAGAAGAACAGGCTCTATTTATTTGTCTTTCAAGCAGCGAGCCATTCTGCCTCTTATGATCCTGCGGAGAGCATCCTCTAATGTTGCATGGGGGGCAAGGAAATTGAAACCCACTTCTGAGGGGCTGACCTGTCCCCTGGCTCTCACTTCTGGTGTGACCTGTAATCCTATCAGTGCTAGTATGTCCATGCTGGGAGAATAAAAAGAGACAGGGGCTTCTCCTGCTGCCTTTTTCTCATTTACTGGATCTCAGGCCCACATGCCTTCTCTGAGAGAGATACAAACTTTCATAGGCATACTGAGTGTAGTAAATATTAGGAACACCTTCCTAATATTGAGTTGCACCCCCTTATTTTTGTTTTAAAACAAGAAAACAGCTTTTATTAGTTTGACATATACATTAAATTCTTTGGACATGACAGAATATTTCTTGATTTTTGGAATAGTCATTTTCTGCATGCGTTGGCAGTGGGTGCCATGTGTGGTTGCCAGTTGCAGTTGTTGTGGACGGCTTGTGCTTTATTTCCAGTGAATCTAATTGATTACAGTACTATGGCAGTGGATTAGATGACCAATCTAGTACAGCGCCAGGTCAGGTTACACTCTGACATGTCCAGGCATGTTCAACTGACTCCATCTTGTTCTGCCATAAAGGCCTGGCTTGCAACACCAACATATTGCTATGGTACTCGTGATGGGCAGAGTGAAAACATTTTGTTGACTCTATTGCACCCCAAACAGCCTCTCTTTCCGAAGTTACTGCTACATTACTGCCACAATTATTGTGATATTTGGAAAGAGTTAGAAAGAGGGAGAAAAGTGAGAATAAATATATTTATTTCAGCATCCATAGTTTTAATTGTTCTAATACCTGTTGACAGCTTTCATTTTATTTTATGCTCATGGAACTATACATGATGATAAAGTTGGAGATGATGAATTTGAACTGGGTGGGTACTGGCTGTGGCAACTAGGGCCTGAGGACAAGTGGTCTCTGTTGGAATGAATGGCTTTTCTTCAACCTGTACAGTGTCGTTTTGTCCCCAGCCGGCCACTAGTTACCTTGCTGGGTCTTCACAATCGGAGATCCAGAGGATAATGCAACATGTCACTGTGATGACTGGATTCCATTAAGTACTCAAGCATTACTGCCCAGTGAGCTCATCAGGCCTATTCTCATTCAAGTAGACCAATGCTGCATGCCTATGTGGGAACCAGAGCTAGCTATTGTATAGCAGTCGAAGGGTGTGTTAAGACTTTTGAGTTTTTAAAAATATATATATATTATTTTTTTGTGGATGGTTTTCCCAGTCTGATCTATCACAGCCATCAAGTACGGTATGTTGTAATCCTGGGGTGATTTATGTATTCAAACATTAAACACATTATCATAACTATTGACATTGATGATCTAACTGGATCTAAGACTACTTTTATGATCATTGTCACTGTCGGGCAGCTCTATTTGGAAGCTTTTCAACCACTCTCCAAGCCACTTGAGAGACTTCGTTGTAAGAAACAGTGGTTTACCAAACACCATGACATCAGTACTGAACTTCATGGACGGACAAGGTGACCCATTTAGGGTAGTTTAACATATCCCCTGTATGAACCTGATCCTGGAGCATTTGGTACTCTGATCCGCGCTAGAAAGTATATGTAAAAAGTTAGCATTTGAAACAGTGGCCAGGGAATCAAAACCAAAATATGGATTGCTGTCATACCTTATCCATAGACTGCTTACAGGGTAAGGAAACCAATATGTAATTTTGTAATTTGGGTGAACTATCTCTTTAACCATGAAAGTGCCCACTTAAAAACGTTATAATTTTTCAAGCCTTTTTTTCAACCCTTCTATAATGTTAGGACAACAAAAAACCCCACAATTTGCTATGCTTTCTGTATTAATATGAATTAATGAAAAATAAGCTGAACAATTTGACTCAATCGTGCACTTTTTAAAAGCACCAAATTTGTCACAGAGGTACATGTTTGAAACCTGAAATTATAAAGAGCCACCCCGGATTTGGCACCTGGGGCCCTGGGCAGCCATTTTTCTATGGAAACATTGTTTGACAATTCAGGAGGACAAGTTTGAGATAAAAGTACCAAATATGTCACAGAGATATTTATCTAGCTAGCTGTAAAAAGCATTAGTGTTATTAGCCTTAGCCTATTTAGCTAGCTCAAACCAGCTAACCTGCCATGATGGATATCAGAAATTGTCATTGTCAAAGTACCAAAACAAAGGAGAAGGAGAGTGATGAGCAGCAGCAGCAGCATCAAACCATCAAGTCCAACAGCGATGATGCTGCCAAGCTCCAGCTAGCTCCGTGTGCAGAGTTTACCCACCCTTCAATAAATGCCGCCAGGACAATGGCTCCACTGCCACGTCCACCTCTCCATATGCTCTCCACTGTGTGTACAGACGACTATGTGACACCGTACAGTGAGGGAAAAAAGTATTTGATCCCCTGCTGATTTTGTACGTTTGCCCACTGACAAAGAAATGATCAGTCTATAATTTTAATGGTAGGTTTATTTGAACAGTGAGAGACAGAATAATAACAAAATAATCCAGAAAAACGCATGTCAAAAATGTTATAAATTCATTTGCATTTTAATGAGGGAAATAAGTATTTGACCCCTCTGCAAAACATGATTTAGTACTTGGTGGCAAAACCCTTGTTGGCAATCATAGAGGTCAGATGTTTCTTGTAGTTGGCCACCAGGTTTGGACACATCTCAGGAGGGATTTTGTCCCACTCCTCTTTGCAGATCTTCTCCAAGTCATTAAGGTTTCGAGGCTGACGTTTGGCAACTCGAACCTTCAGCTCCCTCCACAGATTTTCTATGGGATTAAGGTCTGGAGACTGGCTAGGCCACTCCAGGACCTTAATGTGCTTCTTCTTGAGCCACTCCTTTGTTGACTTGGCCGTGTGTTTTGGGTCATTGTCATGCTGGAATACCCATCCACGACCCATTTTCAATGCCCTGGCTGAGGGAAGGAGGTTCTCACCCAAGATTTGACGGTACATGGCCCCGTCCATCGTCCATTATCCATAGCGCCTTACAAGTGAGTGCATTAATCTTAAGATAGCTAGGTGAGACAGCCACATATCACAGTGAGAGACAGAATAAGTCTCTGAAACATGGGCCACCATCACTGTTCAGATCCCCCATCACTTCAAGAGGATGTACAGCCTGGGTCTCTACAAAAACAGCTTTTAAACTGATATTCAAAACCTCAAACTTAAGAAGGAGGACATTGAACTTAAAAACCTGAAACCCCATACTGACTACACATACTGTGTCTTTTCTATAAGAAATGCTCTTAGAGTCAATTATACTTGTATGCTATTCTCCCGAAGTGAGTAGCTGTTACAAAACCATACAACAGCTACCCACTTTATTATGGCCATCCTAGTTTGTCTCTTTAGTATGGTGATTGTCCTAGGGGTGGTCTATTATTGCTTGCGTAAAAAACGTCAGCTAGATGAAAAGCACTGTATCGAAGTCAGAATCCACATCTTTTCGAGGGGTGAAATCAGGAGCTGTGTCCACCCAGGAGCCCCAGCTGGTCCTAATATCAGAGCAGCCGCAGAGCAAGTCTAGCTTCCTGTCCCCAGTGTATTATATAGTGAGCGTAGTGTTCTTTCAGAGTCATAATTAGTCTGCCTCTCCTCTCTGCTCCTCTCCTCTCCTCAACCCTCCTCTTCTCTCCTCTTCTGTTCTACAACTATAGAGCTGCACAGGACATTTGCATAACTGTTCAGACTCCCACTGTTCTCCCCCGTCCCTGCCCTACTTCCACTCTTTCAACCTAACTAATGCTTCCCATAACTTCCCCTTTGTCTAACCCCATGTTGCCCTGGGAACCACTGCTGATTGACAGGTTACACTGGGAGAACTCTAGTCTACCCTTCAAAAGACTATAGGGTTCTTGGGGAGGGGGAAGGGGAGGGGGAGGGACATAGGAAAATAGTGAGAACTTCAATTGTCTTTAGTTGGACAGTTCCAATTATAGATGCTGTGGGGGACACTGAGTGGCAAGTTTTGAATTTGTTTTGATTGTTTTCAATTGTCACCCATGTTCCTGGGAGGGCTTTGTGTTGTGTATGATGTGCAATCTGAAGAGATGCAGGCTGGGGACCCAGTCTGCCTGTGTATTATGGTGGAAGAATGGAGCTCTGGGAACTGATACTGTATAAATGACAGGGCATGCCAATGTGTGAGAATCTCACGGGACTGACTGCTGAGCTGGCCTGGGAGGGATTCCGATGGGAAACTGCTGAGGTTAGACTCAACTGATGTTAGGTGTGGGTTATGTGGGTGATACAGTATGTATATTGTGTGAATTACTTCATCTCAAATGGAAATGAGATTTAATCCCATAGCAACCCTTGCCTTGCTTGCACTCACACTTTTCTTACTAGCACTGACTTTACTGATAGCTGCTTTATTGAGGAAACATTTGCTTACTATGACTGTAATATGTGGTTGTCTCACCTATCTACCTTAAAATGAACGCACTAACTGTAAGTCACCCTGGATAGGAGTGTCTGCTAAATGACTAAAATGTAAATGTTAAATGAAATGGGAACAATTCAATATTGGATTAGTATTAACAACTTATCTGAGGTGGTTTGGGTTCAGACTAGCCATTATACTTGTTGGGCTACCCCTAACTTCCCTACCCTCAGGGGCCTGGGGGCTCCCAACAGGCAGAGGGGAGACACTCTCTACATTAACAGAGTCTCCCGAGTGGCACAGTGGTCGAAGGCACTGCGTCGCAGTGGTAGCTGTGCCACTAGAGATCCTGGTTCGTAGCCGGCCGCAACCGGGAGACCTATGGGGCGGCGCACAATTCGTCCAGGGTAGGGGAGGGAATGGCCGGCGGGGATGTAGCTCAGTTGGTAGAGCATGGTGTTTGCAACGCCAGGGTTGTGGGTTTTATTCCCACGGGGGGCCAGTATGAATTTTTAATGTTTTTATTTATGCAGTCACTAACTGTAAGTCGCTCTGGATAAGAGTGTCTGCTAAAAAAAAACAGAGGCCCTGCCTGTAAAGTGTGTGTGATGCCGAGGGCCTTCGCCCTGCCAGAGCTCTATCATTGTGTCCTTCATAATACACCACAGAGAACAATGACAGACGGGCCAGGCTTTCCGGGTCAATTATCACCACAATCAGTGATATTATAGTACATCTGTAATCCATTTAGAGCTTCACAAGTACTTTAAATGCATCTCTGCAGTGTCAGTTACACACTCTTTTTCCATTATACTCAGGCTTTAAAAAGTATTCATTTCTCCAACAAAAAGAAAACCACTCGCACTTGTCTTTACATTTGAGTCATTTAGCAGACGCTCTTATCCAGAGCGACTTACAGAAGCAATTAGGGTTAAGTGCCTTGCTCAAGGGCACATCGACAGATTTTTCACCTAGTCGGCTCGGGAATTAGAACCAGCAACCTTTCGGTTACTGGTACAACGCTCTTAACCACTAAGCTACCTTTACCTACTAGCACTGACTTTGCTGATAACTACTTTACTGAGGAAAAATGTACCTCACTGTGATATGTGGTTGTCTCACCTAGCTATCTTAAGATTAATGCACTAACTTGTAAATCGCTATGGATAAGACAATCTGCTAAATGGCTAAAATGTCAAATGTGATGATTCATATTATATCATCGATGATGTTTCAGACCCAAGCAGTTCCTGATTGATAACCTTCTGGCTTGTGTCTTGTAGGGTATCTGGAGAGTAGCATCCCTCTATCATGTCCTAGCTTTTAGCCAGGATAAATAAAATCAGTGACGCTGAGCAGAGAGCAGGGTTTAATGGATAGCACCATGGGAGGCCAGGGGAATTACCAGCCGAGAATGTAAAGCAGATGTGATTGTAAGGTTGTTAAACGACTTTACTGCCATGTGAAAACCAGTGAGAGACGACACAAAGAGGACTAGCTAATCACTAAAGACTAACTGGTAATTGAACTGACATTGGATACTAAGACTGCATTTCCTGTTGGAACCCACAGAATTTATGGCAAGTTACTCCCATTTCTCCTTTTGTGATAAATGACATAAACCACTTCTTGGCTCCTCCACTAGCAAATTGAATCCAACATAATCACATAAATAGTTGTGGTTGTTGTTATACTAAACTTTTTATATACCACTGCCATCTTATGATGCATTATTTAATGCAAGACATTCATATGGCTCAATACTGATTAGCCATTCTCCATTAATAATTCAAAAACCAAGGACCACACGTAAACAAGGCTTAGTGCAGTCATGCTTGGCCATCTGTATGACTGGGGTAGAGCAGGCCTGGCCACATGCTACATGCTGAGGATACCACCTGCTAGGCACAAATGCCAGTCTGTCTCTCTATCTGTCTGCAATATCAGCAGAGCAGAATGATAATGAGGTGTCCCTCACACACACATATCTGCACTCAAGTGAACACACTGACACCCACACACACACGCACACACACACACACACACACACACACACACACACACACACACACACACACACACACCACACACATATACACGCATATGTTTTACTATCCTTGTGGGGACCTACAATTTATTTCCATTCAAAATCATATTTTCCCTAACCCCTAACCCTTACCCTAACCCTAAACCTAATCCTAAACCTAACCCCTAACCCTAATTGTAACAATAACCCTAATTGTAACCCTAAACCTAAGCCTAACCCCTAAGCCAGAGACACACCACAACCACAGAGACAGACACACACACACAGAGACAGAGACAGACACACACACACAGTCTTCTGCTCCCCAGACTGTTCATCCTAGTCAGCTGAGGGAATCTTCTGCTCTATTTGCTGCTGAGGGAGGTTCATTCCTGGCACAGCTCCACTGAGGGAAAACAATATCACCTCCATGTCACCATCACACAGGGCAGCAGTCTACCCCTTGTGGAGGGTCTAGCAGAGCTGATCCTCTCATAATAAGTGGATTATCCTAGGCCTTGTTTAAATGTCAGCCTTTACTGAATACAACAGGGGCATATCTAGGTTTACTGACTTTGCTGATAACTACTTTATTGAAGAAAAATATATTACAATGAATGCACTAACTGTAAGTCACTCTGGATAAGAGCGTCTGCTAAATGACTGAAATGTAAATGTAAAATGTTGTTTAACTGTCAGCCTTTACAGAATGCAACAGGGGCTTATCTAAGTTTAACCTTATATAAATACCATAAAGAAAAATATGAAATTAATATGATTAATATTATATGCAATATTCATTTTATTAAATGAAAGTAATAAATAATTGATGAATCATTGTATTGTTTGTATTTTGTGCTTTTACATATGGCTATGGCTACGACTTATTACCTATGTGGTATTAGAGAAACATACTGCATATCTGACCCCTGTGGGTAATCAGACTTGTGCTTAGCCCTCATAGTAACCGTGGGAAACTGTAGCATTATTGGAAGTTACAAGCATTTTGATTTCCCTCAGGGAGCATCAATGAGGACCAGGTTACGTTTAGACCCTGGTGCAACTATACGGTCCATTATATGACTGGACGGAATGGATCAAATGACCTATAAGCAAATATCCCATGCAGCAGGTCAGTCAAATGAGCAAAATTAGTAGAATAATGTCTCTAGAATAAACACTGATGACCACAGACTACCATCACAACTATGTTATAATATCAACTAAGAATTCCTCGCAGGTAATTAAATGCCATGTATTGTGATGAAATAGTATGTGTGCCAGACTTGCAGCATTGCATGGGGTGACAACAGTCCCAAAGCCAGATTAGATAGTGTTAGTTTATGGAGATGCCGGGTGTTTTTATGAGAGCCCATGACTCTGGTAGTCCAGTCTGTAGAGTAGAAGAGCAGCAGGTGCTCCTCCCTGCCTACGCTCTTGTATTAATCTCCTTCACAAGGCAGCGACCCCTCACCCCTCAGACTGCTCCATACGGGCGCCATGCTAATCACAGTCACAGCCTTGCCTGCCAGCCAGCCACACGGCCCACCACAGATGTGCCTGAGATCAGACTGAACATAAACACCCAGGCCCAGGCCAGCCCAGAAGTCTGGGTATGGGCTAGGCTGTAAAGCCTGGGTTAGCCTGTGTTTAGCCTGTGTTTAGCTAGCACCCCCTTAGCATGGACCATGGGGAGCAGGATTTGCCTTTACTGGGATATAGTCCTACTGCATGCATACCTCAATGTCTTCAAGTGTCGTCTCCCCACATTTTAGTTCTTAATTTTTGACAGAACGTTTAACTATATCAACTTCAATTTGTCACAGTAAAATATCCCATCAAACATTGTCATTTTTCCCTCAATGCATATTTTTTCAAGGCAGCTCTGTCTGGGGACCAAGGAGAGAGCGAGAGATCCACCTGTCTATCTTCCTTTTCATAGAGCATCTGTGCTCATATGACCTGATGACGTGGTGGGGAGGGGACGATCGCTAAAGCTCCCCTACTAAGGCCTCATTAGTAAACACACACACACAAACACAGTGACCCACACACACCATCACTTTTGTCCCCAAGACAAGTTGTGACAGAGACTGTGAACATGTGATCTCCCCACACTGAACCCATTGGCTCTGTTGGGCCCTCCCCAATATCGTTAACCTCCACAGAGCTATTCACTGCGACCAGTGCCAGCCCCAATCAAGGCCACACTCTCTCGCTGGGCCTTTCCCACAACCTCCAGGCACCTTGGAGGAAGTCATCCATGGCTAACTGTGCTCCTTAATCTAAGGCTGAATGTAGAAGTTGTCCCGGAGGTTGGCTGCTGCAAGTGCGGCATTAGCAAAGCACATGCTCTCCTTTCTGCAGAAAACAATGGCACCCATTGTCTTGGTGCAGAACTGTCCATTTTGATTTAGAGGGGCTCGTTCCAGCAGATAGACAATACAGAGGGGATATATTTGGCCCCAATACAGCAGTGCACTATTGGGACTTCACAACATCAGAAAATCAAAAGAGCTCTTTTTATTTGTTATGGCATATGACTCATATCATTATTTTCTAATGTTTGTATTGGAAACATTATGAATTACAGTCTTTTTTAGGTGGGGAAAATGTAACTCAGAAGAACAAAAGTTATACTTGTTTATGATGCATACCTGTTGCTCTCCAAAGCTTACCATAATAAACTAACCATATCAGCAGATTATTGAGTGGTGTTTCATCTACTTAAAGGGTGTCCTTTGTTCAGTGTGTTGTCGTTGTGACAATATGGATTCTACTAGAACTGATGTAACTGGCTCAAGTGAATGTCACAACAAGGGCTTACTGTGACAAATGGATGTTGGGAGAGACAGGACAGGATCCCTGCCTGGGTTTCCTCTCTGATAACAGTAGGTCTACACTGTCTCTAGCAGGAGTGGAATGCTCAGGTTACCCTTCAACAAAAGAAGACAAGAAATGCTCACAGTAAAATACTCTTTTAAATTAGTCTTTAATCCAGACTAGCAATGACATGCTTACAGAATGTGGGATCCATGCCTTAAAATCAAAGACCTGAATATAGGGTCAAAAATATTAACCTTCAACTGTTCTGCTAAAGCCTTATCTCGTGTTGTTTGACCCGATAACTTCAATTGGTTTATTAATAGCACTAACCCATACATAAAAAATAAAAAAAAACGTTTTGTCCATTGTGTTCCCTTCCTGGTACTGTCCTCACCATTAATGCTCACATCTCTGCCATTCGCTGGTAAACATCCTGCAAACCGTTTGAACTGACCTATTACCACTCACATGGATGATGAGAGTCCTTTTGTCTCAATGGCGATTTCATCATGTAAATATGGTCAAATGAACTGTCAAACTAACAGTCTTCTTTGTTGTGATGATTTTGTACAAAAATACATCTGAAAGTTGTGGCTGGGATTATGACCAGAGCTATTTCAATCTGACATGTAGTGAAATATAAATAAAATATTTGTTAAGATGTTTGAGCGTAACCATGGACAACAGTAGTCCACATGATTGGATGTGTTTGGGAAAACCTCAAGAGAAGTCTAACAGTGCTGGACTGTTTCATTTTTTGTTTTGTTTGGTCACTTTCCTGGTGGGACAACTAGAACCAACTGATTGCAACTGGCACTTATGAAAACAATGTCCCAGAACATCAGTTGCTTGACATCACTTTTCATCATGTGGTCAGTTAAATGAAATAAATATAGCATCAACCTGTCAAACCTTATCGCTTGTTGTGTTTTTGTGTTTTAGAAATAAACCCCAGCCTCCAAACAACCAACTTTGCAGATGGCTTTAAATATATATCTTTATGTTTTGTTTACACTTATCATTGACAAGTTTTTCGCTTTTAATGTTATAACTGTTTATTGCATACGTTGGGTTTAGATATCCCATTTCCTACACCATAACGGCTGTCTTTGAACTTGCTGACATGTTAACGCAAAAAAAGGGGCAGCTTTTAAAGGGAGAACATAAAACTTGGTCAGACATGGTTTCTTTTCTCTACGTGATTATGCTCCGTATCAGACTGTTTAAGAGGAGCGTTTTAAAGGGAGCTTTAGGGGCTTTAAGCTGGGGGGGGGTGTGCTGAAGTGGAGGCTCTCCTTTATCCTCTTTCTCTGGGGGCTGCCATTTTCATTGAAATGAAGGCAATCTATCAAGGGCCCGTATAGCTCTTTTCACAGCAGAATAAAGGGTTTGCTGTAGACAGACCTGTCCATGGGCTGCACAGACATGGGACACAACAGATGTGTTAAACACAGTGAACCCTCTGACAAAAGTTTAGAAGGGGGACTT